TATTGTTCATAACATTTCTTCCACAGCCTGTATATGGCTCGACAAGTTTCAGAACAACATGTTCACTGAGAAGCATTGATGATGGTTGTTGTTCATCTTTCCCCAAATAAGGAAAACCATTCAAAACATATTTGCTACTAACATCTGATGCAAGCCAGAATTTGATGCCAAATTTGTTGGGTTTATTAGGCATATACTGTGTAAACCTGCACCTGGCTTTTGACGGAAATAATTGCTCGTCAACTGTTACATTTTGCCCTGGTTGATAGCAAGCTTGACTATTTTCAATGAACTTGTCCCATATTTCCGAAACCAAGGCAAACTTATTTATTTGTAGGTGCCTACTTCTTTTGGTTCTTTTATCAAAACGAATAAATCGTAGGATTTGCTTGAACTTTGCTCTGGCCATAGTTTTTCTAAAAAATTCGGGACCCTACTTTGCTGACCATAAATAACTGAGTTTTAAATTTTTTGCCTCGTAGGCTCCACGAGCATATAAAATCCCAATAAATGCATGTATTTCCGGTAATGTTGTTGTCCAATCGTTCCTCAAAATTCGGCGGCCTTCTTCTTCTATGCACTTTTTTAAAAATTTCCCCCCCAAGCAGTCAAAATGACTGCTTTCGGGCAATATAGGTATAACACATATATATATACCGGAAATGAAGGAGGGGGAGGTAACTACAATTATTAATAAACGCATTTATATGTTGTATAAAAAGTCACAAAATTCTAAGACATTCTGTCATTATATACATCATTGTTTTTCTAACTGAAATTAAAAAGCAGTCAAAATAACTTCCTTGGGCAATCTAGTGTTAAAGATCTGATATTTCCAGGAATAGCGTGGTGAGGTAACAAAGCAGGTTTCTGTAATAAGACTAAAGATAAATGAGATACTTTAAAAATGCCAATTATTTTCGTTTCTACTTTTCTGCAATAAACTCTTGCACACACTACTTCTGAATAATCCCAATGCAAAGTCAGTCAGTTTCTTTATAAAACAATATGCCCTGACATTAAAAATGCAACATCACCGTGTTTTACAACTGTGTATAAGTGGTCACACTGTTAGAGAACCAACTCCATGCCTAACTGCCCTTGACCTAAACGCTGGCCATAACCCACTCCCTCACCCAGCTACCACCCTGGAAATGTAACAGACACTATTGGAGGATTTTAGAGCAAGTAGGGCAACCAAGGAAGCTAAACATATTGGGAAACCCCACCTAAGGAGGCCTACGGAATAGATTCAGGACGGCTTTCTACAGTGTTCCTGCGGGAAATGTTTCCAACCAGCCATAGGCGGAAGGAGCCACGAACATGGGTGTGATGGCACGTGCAGCCCTACACTGGATTTCCATGGCATAACCTCATTTCACTATTTTTCACTCTTTTTGGCGAGTTAACTATAACATGCCCAGAAGTTTCTCTGAAGCTTCCTGAAACGAAGATTGTAAACATCCCTTTAAACCAAACCTTAATTAAGGGATGGGAATCTGACGGTCAGCATTCAGTTTCCAGTGCTGTTTACCACTCATGAGGCTCCAGGATACACTCAGATCCACACACTTCAGGTTGATGACCTTAGCAATAGCTTCCCGGCTAATCAATTGTTTGAAATTTATAAACAGTGTCCCTTTCATCGGGACAGTGAAGAGACTGTTGGTGCTGTTAGGCAGGTTACAATAAAGCTCTCCTCCATCTCCCCCGAACAGGACACTGAGGAGACGCAATGATTAGGTGTGAACATTTTCTAAAGCCGAGCTGGAGCTGGAGTCAGACCAGTCAGAACAGCTGAGAGTGAGGAGTGACTCCACGGTCCTGAGAAAAGCATGGGACCAGGCTGTCCAGGCGCTGCATCTGGCCACCCCCTTCTTCACACAACTCCTGAGACTGAACGGGAAATGTCAGCAGCTAAAGCAGCGTTACACGTTACCTTCCTACATGTCAGCCCGCAGGAGGCCTCCTGTGTGCCTGAAAACAAGCGCTGGCACTGAACAGTGTAAAAAATCCTCCCGACTTACTTAAATTTAAACGTCTCTCCTAGTTCAGAAGCTTTTCCTGGGGAAATTTCAAATATTCCAGAAAAGGGGTAAGGATGGCCACCATAAGCAAATTCTGAAAAGAGAAAACTCATGATTTTTAGTATTCATCACACAACACATAAACAGAATGCTGAATTGGCTTTAGTAAGTGATAACAATACCACCTAAATATGTTTCAGTTTACTAATGCTTTCACAAACATCTCATTTAGCTATTACTTGTACAGGACAGTTGCCACCAAAGGCCTGAAACTCTAATAATGAAAGAGAGTCACAAGTAATACTTTGATTTTACTGGCAAGAGGAGGGTGACTAACACTCCGACGTAAATACAGCCTCTGCGATCGAGCCTGCCACACTAATGAGAGGTCAGTTCACTCAGCACAATGTGATCAAAAGTCAAAAGTGTACTTTACTGAAAAATCTGTCTAATAACGAGTTTTGGCCCGGCCGGCGTGGCTCAGTGGTTGAGCGTCGACCTATGAACCAGGAGGTCACAGTTTGATTTCCCGGTCAGGGCACATGCTCGGTTGTGGGCTTGATCCCCAGTGTGGGGCATGCAAGAGGCAGCCGATCAATGATTCTCTCTCATCATTGATTTTTCTCTCTCTCTCCCCCTTTCCCTTCCGCTGCAAAATCAATAAAAAACAAAAAACAATGAGTTTTCATGATTCCTGGCTGAAGACTCTTGGTTTATCTTTGAAACATTAGCAAACCTGAAAAACGGAATTCAATTCCCCCATTCAAGAGGAAATAAACTGCCCAGTTACTATGTACAGCCCTCCCCCACGCTGCCGCACACGCTGCCGCGGGAGGGAGTCCCCTGCACCACAGGCCGCCCGCCAGGCTCAGCGATGCCAACTCTCCCCAGATGAACATGGGGACGGCTCCAGTCAGGAGGAGCGCAAGTTCCTGTCTGCACTTCTGCTGTGAGACACTCAGGCATTTACGTGGCAAATCTTAGCGGCTTATTGAAAGACTTCTACACACATGTTTACATTGATCTCATCACTACTATTTATTAAAGCTAACCTTAAGCCGAAACTGGTTTGGCTCAGTGGATAGAGCGTCGGCCTGTGGACTGAAGGGTCCCAGGTTCGATTCCGGTTGAGGGCATGTACCTGAGTTGCCGGCACATCCCCGTAGGAGATGTGCAGGAGGCAGCTGATCGATGTTTCTCTCTCATCGATGTTTCTAGCTCTCTATCTCTCTCTCCCTTCCTCTCTGTAAAAAATCAATAAAATATATTAAAAAAAAATAAAAAAGCTAACCTTAAAAGATCTTAGAACAGAGCACGGGAAAGAACTGGCAGACACAAAGTTTACCTTTGATTCAGATCTTTCAGAAAAAAGCAATGATGTAGATAACAAAAAGGTGTCTCACACTCAACACTGAAATATACATTAAAACATTTTTAGTGACAGGTTTTATAAAACCCCGTGGGTAATCGGGTTGGCCATGGGAAGACTGTATTTGGATTTTTAACTTTCTCAACTGCAGTCAGAAGAGTCACAGAGCCATTTATTCTCCTGTTTAAGATTCACTTTCAGGAATATAGAGCGTGGAACAAAAGTAGGTTCACAGCAGTGTGTATGAATCATTAGTTACTGTATTGTTTCCATACGTAAACCTACTTTGCGCCCCGCCCCTTTGCCACCCCCGTATAGTATTTTGCCCTAGCGTTGCTAAGCTTATGTGGATGTTTCCAACCATGATTCTAATGACCCCTACATCGTTTCATGAAAGGGAGCAGCGATTAGGCCGATGAAAGAGCAATGGACTGGTGCTTAAGAACACTTGGGTTCCTCCTGGGTTTATGGCTGATTCGCAGCATGGCTGTCAGCAGGTTTGGGTTCTTCATCTGAAAAGTGGCTCTTATGTATGTACCTTCCAGGAGCACAGGCCTGTGGTTCAAGACTTGATGGCACTTTAAACTAACACACCACGCAATTCAGATGAAAAGGAACACACACACAACTTTGGCAAAAGCCAAGTCAAACAAGGGAGCAAACCCCACACTATAATGCACCCCCGCTTCCCCTCCAGCAATGCTCCAGCACTGAAGGTAGACGCAGCCTTTCAAGTACACTGGAGCTGCCACCGCAGACCTGCAGGGCCCACGTTCAATACGCGGCACCCCGCGGGGACGCACCGGCAATGTGCAGCGTGAGAAAGGGACATTCCTAGCACCGTACTGACACAGTTACTAAACGAGCCTTTTCTTCGTAACAGCTAAGCTGGTGTGTAGGTAGCCTTTTTTGAGTAAATGCAGGAACACATTCAAAGAGGTCACAAAGCCCGCCTAGCCGAAGCCTTGCAAGGCGTTTCTGCTGTAGGGTGAGTTTATGATTCAAGCTCATATATTATTACAGCCCTGACAAACTGGCAATGTGGTCTGTCTGACGCACACTATTACTGCTCACACTTGCTCACGAGTCAATTATCCTCACCGAGGGTGGGACTGAGAACAAAGGGCCAAGCTGCTGAGAGCAGAGCTGCTAGGTGTGAGGCCCCAGCGTGCTTGCCAGGATAAAGGTAATAAAGAATGAAAAGAGCTGCGTTAATGAATGACCAAGACCATCGTTCCCCAAGAAGCTGGGTGTAATCAAGGCAGAGTTTGCTCAGTGATATTTTAAAAGTTTAGAACAACACACTTGTAGGTCCACAAACACAAATCACTGAAATTCCCTCGGGAAACTGGTATTTCAAGTGTGGCACTCGCTAGAACCAACCCTTCTCCAACCAAAATGATTGCTGTGGTATAACAATGATTGCTTTTTTTTTTTTTAAGACATAGTATCTATATACATAAAAGCCTAAGTGACTGAATGACCGAACAACCGGTTGACTGGTTGCTATTACGTGCACTGACCAAGTAAAAGCCTAAGTGACTGAATGACCGAACAACTGGTTGACTGGTTGCTATTATATGCACTGACCAAGAAGGGCAGATGCTCAATGCAGGAGCTGCCCCCAGGTGGTGGTCAGTGTGCTTCCACAGCCAACCTCCTGTGGTCCCTCTGCCCCGGCCAGCCAACCTCCCGCAGTCTCTCCCCTGGCCAGCCAGGCCCTCCCATAGGCCCCTAAGTGACTGAATGACCGAACAACTGGTTGACTGGTTGCTATTATATGCACTGACCAAGAAGGGCAGATGCTCAATGCAGGAGCTGCCCCCAGGTGGTGGTCAGTGTGCTTCCACAGCCAACCTCCTGCGGTCCCTCTGCCCCGGCCAGCCAACCTCTCGCAGTCTCTTCCCTGGCCTGCCAGGCCCTCCCATAGGCCCCGATCCTCAGCCAGGCCAAGGGACCCTGCTTGTGCATGAACTCGTGCACTGGGCCTCTAGGTCAGAATAAAAGATAACTAAATGAACGTACACTCATGTACTTTGGTACTTTCTCCCCCAATACATTCAACTTAGGCATTTCCTCAAAACATGATATAAGTAAATATGGAAAATGATCTCCTTTTCTGCAATAGAAAGTTATGGAAGCAGTTAAAAAATGAAAAGGAAGCAATCCTTTAAAGAAAAAAACCTTCAGAAAGTGTACTGAGACCGTGTGTACACTTACCTCTGCCATACACTTCAATTCCTGAATGAAAAACTCCAATCCCAATGGAGGAGGTGTACTCGTTCATCCAGTACTAGGAGAAAAGGAAAGATTCAGAACTTCTGTTCCGTATGACTCAGCTCCACTTACAGGAAGCTACGACTCCCCACACTGATCCCGTTTCTTGGTATTTTCCCTTCCACCTCTGAAACTCCCACGATAATGACCCATTTAGTCCTATCTCTGTGCCTTTGCTTGTGCCACAGCCCATGTAGAATTCCTTCCTGGGCCAAAATGAATGTCTCAATTTCATACAAGCACATTGAGAGCATAAAATCTAAACCTGGCCAGGTTGGGAGAAAAAAATGATATAAAAATTCTGTTAGTGACTTAAAAAATCCACCTGACATCTGCTTTCATATCTATTTTTCTTCTAGCTTTCTCTTTCATTCCCTGGTTAACTCCTAAAGACAGGGATATTTTGTTCTTTTTAAAAAATGTTTGAACCCTGGCTGGTTTGGCTCAGTGGATAGAGAGTCAGCCTGCAGACCAAAGACCAGGTTCGATTCCGGTCAAGGGCACATGCCCGGGGTTGCGGGCTCGATCCCCAGTAGGGGGCGTGCAGGAGGCAGCCAATCAATGATTCTCTCTCATCATTGATGTTTCTATCTCTCTCTCCCTCTCCCTTCCTCTCTGAAATCAATAAATATATATTTTTTAAATGTTTGAAAAAAACGTATATGGCATATATGTCCTGACTCAGCTCAAAGTTTGACAATGATATTACAGAAATAAACTATATGAAGCACAAAGGTTGCACCAATCTTCTTATCATTGGCATGGAAAACCCCCCAGAAAAGGTCATATCTAAACTGGATTTTTTAAGGAACAAATAACATTTTCCAAGATAGAAAGTTTTTTGGGTGGAGGAGAACGGGAAGAAATGCCAGAAGAGGGGAGAAGATGTACACAGGTGGTGCGGTATGAAATTATGGGGCTGTCAAAGGGGTTAAAAGGCAAACTGTAGAGAGTTATACCGAGAAGAAGGGAAATGAGCTAAAAGCTCATTAAACACACACTTGGGTAATACTTAACAGTGTTACAAAACCTATCAGATTTCTCCCAGGTCAGAAGATCAAATGATCTTTAATTTTTCTAGATTTATTTAAGTTTCAACCTTGACTCCAAACTCCCAGACCTGGGAAAAGGCACATTCTCATACATGGCTGGGAAAACATAAATGGATAAAGTTGATTTTCTCCCTCACCCTCAAATATGCCTAGAAGAAAAATATTTGAAAAAGAACAAGGGACTTTCTCATCTAACTATCAAAATATTCATTAAAAGAGTATGGTACTGCCCTAGCTGGTTTGGCTCAGTGGATAGAGTGTCAGCCTGCGAACTGAAGGATCCCAGGTTCGATTCTGGTCAAGGGCACATGCCCAGTTTGTGGATTTGATCCCCAATGGGGGGGGTGTGCATGAGGCAGCCAATCAATGATCCTCTCTCATCACTGATGTTTCTATCTCACTCCCTTCCTTCCTGAAATCAATAAAAATATATTAAAACAACAACAGCTATCATTCTTTTTTTTATCCACCAGATTGGCAAATACAAAATATACTGCTAATACTTGGTAAAGAAGAATGTGAAGGAGATACTGCAGAAGAGTGACTCAATGATAGTTAACCAGTCTACTTTGTGGGATCTATTCTATAGAAATACTTGAGCATATGCAAAGACACATTCCAGCTTATTAACTGTGTTATCTATAATTCTGAAAAACTAGAAACAACTTAAATATCAGTAGGAGAATGATTAAATAAATTATGGTGAATCTGTATTATGAACTATCACTGTCTACAGCTACTACAAAGAATGAAGTAACTCAATACATATAGACATGAAACAGTATCTAAGACACAAAGTAAAAACGCCATTCATATATTATAGTATGATCACACTTTCATAAAATAAACAGTGTGTGTTTGTTTACATACTCAATATCTATGTATATAAAAGGCTAACATGCAAAGTGTCCTCTCGGTAGTTCAACTGGGAGACCGGGAGTTGGATCGCTCACTATGATGTGTGCTGACCACCAGGAGGTGGCGCAGAACGAAGGAAGGCCCTGGCCGGCAGCCAGAAGGCCCTGATCAGCTCTGATCTCTGGCCAGACCTAGGGACCCTACCTGTGCACACATTTTGTGCACTGGGCCTCTAGTGGAAGAATAAAGAAAAACCATCATCAACTACAACAAAATAAAGTTTGAGGCAGAACAAAGTGTCAATAGTTTGAGAGAGGAGAGCAGGTATTCAGGGGTGGGGTGGGAGGGAGTATAAAGGGATACTTTCACTTTTAACTCCATATTTCCAGAGTGTTTCTCTTTATTTGAATCCTTATACTATCATAAGGGAATAGGCTCATGTATACAAACATCAAAGCAGCAGCATTACTTGTGTGAGAAAAATACTGGTAACAACTTAAGCGTGATTCTCAAGGGCATTGGCTGAATAAACTATGATATATTCACACAACATTTGGAATACGATGCAGCCATAAAAAGGAGGAGGATGCTCTCAAGGAACTGATAGGGAGTATTTTCCAGGACATATTTGTCAGGGGATCAAAAGCAGAAGAAGAATGGAGACATGGCAAATGATATAGAAGCTGGTTTGAAGGGACTTCCATTCGTCAACTTTGAAAAATTTGAGTATCGAAGAGAAAAATGACAACAATGAACTGTCACATATTGAATAAAAAGAATTTGAGCCCATAGTAAGACAAAAAAGAAGGGAAGGAGGGAAAGCTCTACTTTAGGGCAGAAAGCCAGCTAATCAATATAGATGTGAAAGCAGCATTAGGTAAGCACCATTTCGCAGCCCCTGCTGATACAAGGTTCATGGATGCTAAAACCATGGGGAGAGGGTTGTTGAGAAGCAATGG